TGCAGACTATTGATAATTTTCACCAAAGGGGAATCTTTGAAAAATCCTTCAATGCGACCCTTATAGCATTGATCCCAAAGAAACCTGGGGCTGTGGAACTAAAGGACTTCATACCTATTAGCTTGGTTGGGGGGTTTACAAAATTATCTCTAAACTGATAACTGAAAGACTTAAAACAGTTATTGGGAAACTAGTAGATGGACACCAAATGACATTCTTAAGAGGGAGACAAATTCTTGATGCATCCTTGTTAGCCAATGAATTGGTTGACTCAAGGGTTAAATAGAAGAAACCAAGGATCATATGCAAATTGAATGTTGAAAAGGCCTATGACCATGTCAATTGAAATTTTCTCCTCAAAATTTTGAAAGACATAGGTTTTGGTAGTAGGTGGATCAAATGGATCAGTTTTTGTATCTAGTGTGAAGTTTTCCCTTATAATAAATGGCAACACAGAAGGTGTCTTTCAATCTCACAGGGGTCTTAGGCAAGGGGACTCTATGTGTAACGACTGGGTTCCGTCGTTATAGGAAAGCCAGTGGGTAAAAATTTTGGGTCGAAAAACTTTTTCATAGTAACTTGGATTTTCCCAACCTAGTCTAGATTTGGACGAAATCGGAGTCGTTGAGGTGTAGGGAAATCTGGTAGCAATCGAGTGATTTAATTATGATTTTGATTACATGAGCAGTTAGATAAGTTGCTAAGAAATCCGTACGACTTTACGGAATTGAATTCGAGTGAGTAGAACTCCCGAAATCGATCTTAGCGTGAACGGCATTTTCTGAGCGTCATCGATTAAAGGTGTGTTGTGAAATGGGGGTCGTGGAATTATTAAAATAGCTCACTGTTTCATGCAAGATGCTTTGGCGGTGGTTTTGGTCGCTCTGGCGGTGCCGCTGAAGTGGGGTGAGGGCCGTTATGGCGGGCCAAACGCGACTTAAAGTCGTAAATAAACCCCTAAACGACTTTAATCTACACTTTTTGATTTTTAGAGCTAACGAACGAACCCCAGGCGACTCTTGACAGTTTTCCATAATTCTTGAGGCTAAAGGTAAGTTTTTCACTCCCCGAATTCGTTTTTCGATCCATAGAACATAATGGAATGAGTAATTATCGATGGGGGAGGGTTTTGAATTGCAAACAATGGTGGAAAAAGCCCAATTTTGGATGCTTGGGATCATAGGTATGATATAGGGTTGTTAGAATTGTTAGTTATCCGGGTAATTAGTGATTGTTTATTAATTCCCGTGTTATTATGATTGTTTGTAGACCAAGAATAAGTGGAACGAATCTGGAAAGGGAAGGATCAAGTTTCTTAGGGTTTTAAGCTTGTTTTGAGGTAGGTGATGGTTGTGATTCTATGATTGTGATGTATGTGTGTTCTTGCTTCATTATGATACTTGTATGTATGTGAATGTTGCATTATTGATCACACTTGTTGTAAATGAGATAGAGGAATGATGAATGCCATGAATCATGACTAAATTGTATGAACTTGAGAAGATACTTGTGATTGTGATTGTGGTGTGTTGAATGGATCGGTTGCCACGTTCCGGCATAACTAATTGGGATCGGTTGCCACGTTTCGGCATAATTATGGGATCGGTTGCCACGATCTGGCATAAACATTGGATCGGCTACGACGTTCCGGTATGCTAACTGTTTGGGTTTAGGTTCCATGAGAGGATCAATGACTTGTCATAATTGTGTATCTTGAGAAATGTGAAGTTATTCGTTGTTAATAAATGTTGATAATATTGTATATGTCCAATATAGGCATGTGTTTATAATGTTGTATTGACTTGCTTATGTTACACTTAGTGGGATAGCCGCGTGATCCTACCAGTACACTGTGGTTGTTTACTGATACTGTACTTGCTCTTATTTTTGTTGAGTACAGGGAATCTTCCGACGGCTATTGACAGACCATGCTTAGAAGATCAGTGATCGTTCGAATTCAAGGGTGAGCCAATTCTTCGGACTTAGACTTTCTAGTTAGTTATTAGTGCATTAGTTTGGGGTTGTATCCCTTCTTGTTTAGACTTGTTGAACATTAAATATTTTGGTATATTGACTTTCAAGTTCCAGGTTATTTCTTCTACATTTGTTTAGTTGTTAGACTTTTGTTGGATTTTATGGGAATTCCCTATTTCTTTCCTTAGTATTATTCATGTTTTCGTATCCTTAAATGCTTTAGTTTTTGGTTTAGTTGCTTGGTTTGGGTTGTAGTAGTGGTTCTCCTACCGGAGGGTTAGTGTGGGTGCCAATCACGACAGTTTGGGTCGTGACACCATGACACCTTTCCTATTCTTGCTAGCTATGGAAGGTCTAAATCCCATGTTCAGGATAGCAAATGCAAATAGATGGGTGAAAGGTTTCAGTGCTCAGTCAGGAAGAGGGGAAGATCTGGAAGTATCGCATCTGTTATATGCAGATGATGCCTTAATTTTCTGTGAAGCAAAGTCAAGTCATATCAGGCATCTAAAAGCCATCCTAACTATTTTTAAGGAATCTCAGGTCTTTATGTAAACGGGTTGAAAAGCCACATCTTCCCTATCAACCATGTTGGGAATTTGCAAGAGTTGGCTGCTATTTTGGGTAGTCAAGTGGACTCCTTACCAACTAAATATTTGGGGTTGCCATTAGGGGCCAAAAATAAAGAACTGGAAGTGTGGAGTGGGGTGATGGAAAGGTGTGAGAAAAAATTGTCCAGGTGGAAAAGTCAATATCTATCATTAGGGGGCATATTGACTCTCATCAAGTCAGTACTGGATAGCCTCCCAACATACATGATGAGCCTTTTCCCAATACCAAAGAGCATTGAGAAAAGATTAAACAGGGTGAGGAGGTCATTTTTATGGCAAGGAAACAAGGAGAAGAGAGGTTACAAACTGGTGAAATGGGATGTTTTGACCCTCAACATCAGCAAGGGGGGCTTAGTTTAAAGAACCTCAAAAAATAGAACATTTCTCTTTTGTAAAAATGGCTTTGGAGGTTCTGCTCAGAAGAGGGAGCCATCTGGAGAATATTTATAGCAGGGAAATATGGTTTACTTACTCAATGGAGAACTGAGGAAGTTGTGGAAACCATTGGGTGTTGTGTCTGGAAAACCATAAGAAGATTGTGGCCTCAGTTCAACAATAATATCTTAATCACTGTGGGTAATGGTTTAAAAACTGACTTTTGGAATGAGGTGTGGATTGGAGAAGATAGTCTTAGAAACTCTTTTCCACACCTTTAAACCTTAAGTCTTCAGAGGAATGCCAAGGTAGCCCAAGTTTGGAGCCAACAGGGTTGGAATCTCTTCTTTAGAAGAGCATTTAATGACTGGGAAATTGGAGAAGTTGACAATTTATTGGAAGTTCTAAACTCACATCCAGCTCTATCTGTGAGACATGACAAACCTAGATGGAAACTACACAACAAGGGGGTGTTCACAGTGAAATCATGTTATTGGAACCTTAACACACTACAGAAAAAGCTAGACAAATGGCCTTGGAAGCTAGTTTGGAAGACCAAATTCCCTCCAAGGGTGGCTTGTTTTACTTGGTTGGTATGTAGAAAGGCATGCCTAACTCATGAGGCTTTACAGAAAAGGGGCTGACAAATTTGATCAAGATGTGTCATGTGTGAGCAAGAAGAAGAAATCAATGATCATCTATTCCTTCACTGTAAGGCAGTTTTGAGCCTATGGAACATGCTCTTTTGTTTGTTAGGAGTTAAGTGGGTTATGCCTAACATGACAATGGAACTCCTAAGAAGTTGGAAAGGTATTGTCAACAGAGGAGAAAAGAATTCTGGTGGAGAACAATCCCAACATGCATATGGTGGACTCTTTGGAAAGAAAGGAACTCAAGGTGCTTTGATGGACAAAAAACTAACTTACAGAAAATTAGGATGAATTGTATAAGCCTTTTGTTTTTTTGGTGTAATCAAAATCTAATAGGGGAGATAATAAAATTAGTTGATTTTATAGGAAACTTGTAAAGAATACCCTATGTGGGATGTAAGCTTCCAATTCATCATTTTTTGGATGATGAATCTTTTGGTGTGCGCGCATACAAGGTTAAAAACTAAATAACTGGTCATGTATCATGCAATGTTGATATAAAATCAAATAAGAGAGTCGAAGGTGCAGATTAGTACGCTCAGTTTATCGGTACACTATTTCGTACTAACGTTCCATTGCCTGGAAGCGCTGCATTCTTGTTTGTAGGTTCTTTAAGAAAGGTACAAAAAGTTTGTGGTTGAGTTTGCAGTAAATTGGTAAGCTTCACTCCCTTCGGAGTTACCATGTTCAAAGGTTTAACAACCTTTTGATGTACAGCTGATAGTAGGTTAGTGTCCTGTCCTGACCAAGTATATTACTCCTTGAGGCTTGTAGACTTTGGGTTGTATATATGTGCATTGTCGATCGTGTTGGCCTTGTTGTTTTGCCCTTCTAGAACAACGACATGTTGATCTTGATCGTATATGTAGATATGTTTTTAGATATTTTGGTGGCCTCGACAACTCACACAAGATTTAGTTAATGTTCTATATGAATTGAAGGTATTCATTGAGTTTATAGGGGCTTGCAAGCCACTTGTTTATTTTAAGTCGATATATACTTGTTTATTTTCTTGATTTTATGACTAGTATTACACTACTAACTTATTTATCAAGCAAGAATCGATTCAGAATCAAATATGACACTAGGTATCAATTACATTTCTAAATTGGGGTGTGACAATTACTTTTTTTCGAGTAAAAAAGAAATTACTTCAGTGGGTAAAAATAAAATGAATTAGGATCTAATTTGTTGAGCTTGTGCTCAGCACGTACAATTCTCATCTAATTTATATTATTACGTGTGTCTAAATACTTTTAATTTATTTTTATTATTTTGACTTAAAATTAATATTTAAAAACATCAAAATACTATAAAAATAATTAAAAACTATTTTGACTTAAAAATAGTTAAAATAAGTCATCTAAATAGGCTCTTACCCATTTGAGTTTGAGTTTTCCTTTAAAAAAAAAAAAAAGCACAACTCCGTCCTATTTCCCCCATTCGATCTAACTGCACTCTGCTGATTTCTGGCATCGGATACTTGTTTGCCTAACTTCACGTAAGTCTCTCCTTGCCATGATTCTCCCTCGTGACCCTTCCTAAATCCCCAATCCCTTGCTGATGTGAATTGAATGCAAAATTCTAGTGTCAATGGTGGATTTGTTTTGTGAAGTGTGTTGTGTATTTATCAGTGATGATTGTTCTATTTGGCTTATCAACTATATTTTCTGCACATTTAGGAATATACTTGTTGATATGCGCTCACAAGGTATTTGATAATTTGCCACACTTAAATTTGGTGAAGTCTAAAGGCTTTATGGGTAGTTTCTTAAGCCAAAATGTGGGATTAGGCAGTTGCTGAAAATAGTTAAACATGATGTTTCGTTTACTGTAGTTTGTTTTGAAGTTGTGTTGTCATGCTAGCTCTTGCCACTTACGTAATGCTTGAGCTTTGAACTGAATACCTCAGTCTAGACTCTGTTGAACTTTGAGTGAGACCAGGGTATTAAACTTCACTTGGTTAATCTCAACCTGCGAATTATATTGAATGTTATCAGTTTGATTTGAACATTTTGCTAATCAGATATGGATGTAGGCGGAAGAAAGATTCAGAAAATTATTGTGCACATACATGAGTGGTGTCATATGTCCTGGAGCTTTTGTTTTCAATTAATAAGCTCACCCAAATTTATATATGTGCATCTAAGTGATGAAATAACTCGACATATATGAAATGATTGAGCAATTAAGTAGAATACATTATACTTTCTTGGTATAAGAAATTTAAGAGGAAGACTTGTTAAAAATTATCTTTTTGTTTTTCAATCATTATTACTCTCTTCGGTCCAAAAAGAATGAATTTTCGGGGGTGTGTTACCCCCTGTAAGAAAGTGAATTAATGACATTAATCTAAAGGTCATTTTTCTAAAAAAGGAAATGTATGTACATTTACCATTCTCAAAAAAAACTTTATTTATGACTGTTTCCTGTTGCAGCAACTGTGGACTCCGATACTCTCTTCTCTGACGACTCCAATCTTTGCTACTCACCCCGTAATAAGGTGTGCCTTCTATTATACATCAATTCTTCTCTTTATTGTTTCATTTTTTAAATTATTTTTCATTTGATTGGGCAACTGTTTCATCCGCTAGTGGCAATAGCTTATGTAAAGATGGTTCATTTATCTTTTTCGGCTTCCTTGCCTTCTTTATTTTTTTTGTCCAAGTGCGTGAATGTAATTTTAGTGATGATTCTTCCAACTATAAAAAATTAAGTGGAATTGTGAGGAGATGGTTGCTCCAAGGGGGCGACATAGCGAAGAGTTGAAGTGACGTGGATTTGCCGAGATGCTTGGCCTTCAGCCCAGACCCCATCATTATTTTTTTTTAAATGGAGCAAATGGTTCTTCAATTTGTCAGAAACTACTCATATGCGCCCAACTTCTTTATTTAAAAAAAAAGTCTTCTTTAATAAGAATTATTTCACGATCAATGATAGTTCAGAGGCTGCTAAAGTATACTCCGTTTGGTTCATATTAAATGGTGTTTTTAGCTTGGGCTAACCCCTTATGAAATCTACTCACTCCTAAAAAGTAAGAAAGTAAGAAGTGTTTCTTACTCACATACCCTTACTTAAATAGTATCCTATTAATTGCAAATGAATGTATAGACTCCGGAGTGAAGCAAGGGAAGTTGGGAATCTTATGTAAGCTAGAGATCGAGAAAGCCTTCGACAATCTTCATTGGGATTTCCTCTTAGACATGCTAAAGTTGATGGATTTGGTGGGAAATTGATAAAATGGATATTCTACTGCATATCTACAGTGAAATTATCCATCAACATAAATGGCTCTCCTAAAGGAATCGTTGCCACACAAAAGGGCTTAAGACAGGGTGACCCGTTGTTTCCCTTCTTATTCACTAGAAGGCTTAAGCAAGATGCTTGCCACAGCAGAACAACATAGGTGGATTAAGGGTTTTAATCCATGTATCAGAAATCATTGGGAGCTGGTAATCACTCATCTTCTATATGGGGATGATTCTTTGATCTTCTGCGAACCAGAAAAGGAGCAAATTGATAATCTAACTGATTCTTTTTCTCTTTGAAGTCATGTATGGCTCCACATAAACTATGCAAAAGAGTGTTCTCTATCCAGTCAATGAAATCCACAACATTCAGGAAGTTGCAGACATCATGGGTTGTAAAGTTGAAGTCTTTCCAGCTAAATATCTAGGCCTACCCCTCGGATCAAGCAAAAGCTGCAACCATATGATATAGTAGAAGGCTGTGACAAAAAATTGTCTAGCTGGAAAAGGAAGTATCTTTCCTTGGGTGGCAGACTTGTTTTGATCAATAGTGTGCTCAATTCATTACCCATCTACACCATGTCCTTGTTTCCTTACCAGCCGATGTAGCTAAAAGACTAGATAAATTTTAAGGGATTTTTGTGGCAAGTTAGCAAGGAACATAAAGATTTTCATCTGGTAAAAAGGGGGGATGTAACCCAAGACAGGGAAGCTGGGGGCCTCGGGTAAAAAATCTGAAGATTCATAACATCAAGTTGATGCATAAGTGGCTTTGGAGGTTTAGTCAAGAGGAGGAAGCATTATGGAGGACTGTTATTAGTGCAAAATACGGTCTCCTTAATCCCTGGACTACCAAATTACCATCTTCGTCTGGTACATCTGGTATATGGCGACACATCAGAGCACATTGTCATTCTTTTTATGCAAATTCAGCTCTCAAAGTTGGAAATGGCAATAAGGTAAAGTTCCGGTCAGATATTTGGCTCAGGCACTCTCCATTAAACAAGCAATTCCCAGTATCATTCAATATAGCACAACACAGCGATGCCACTATCTCGGAATATTGGTCAGAACTTGGCTGGAACTTCACTTAGACGCAATATAAATGATTGGGAGTTTGATAGCATGTCTTCTCTAATGCTTTAGCTACATAACCAAAGTCTGGTTCAGTCAAAACTGACACTTTAATATGGAATAGAGATGCAAAAGGGAAATTCAAGGTCAGACGTTATTGAGGAGTTTATCTGACAGCTTTCCCGATTGGCCTTGGAGAATCCTCCGGAGAAGTAAGGCACCCTTGAAGGTCAATTGTTCTTTGTGGTTGGTGGCACACGAGGCATGTTTAACTCGTGATAATCTTCAGAAAAGAAGGATTACAATCTGCAGGGGATGTTCATTGTGTGAGAAGGAAGGGGAGAGTGCCAATCTTCTTTTCTTACATTGCCCCTACACCTCACAAATTTGTTATTTTCTCTTAAATATTGTGGGGTCAGTTGGGTTATGCCTAAGACGATAGTCGAGCTACTGCAATGGTGGTACATGAAAGGACTGGAAAAAGTCAAACTAAGAACATGGAACTTACTGCCTGCTGCCATCTGGTTGTGTATTTGGAAGGAAAGAAATTTGAGAATTTATTAAAGCAAAAAGGAATTTGTAATTAGTCTAAAGCACAAATTTATTTCTCTGGTGTTTCATGTGTGGAAAATCAAAGTTCCTCACAAGGTCTCAGGTTTTATTTGGTTGGCAATTAGGGAAGCATGTCTAACTCATGAAGTGTTACAAAGAAGAGGTATACAGATTTGCTCAAGGTGTTTCATGTGTGGGGAAGAGGCAGAAGTTAATAGTCACTTATTCTTACACTGCAGAACAGCTGCAAATCTGTGGAGCATGTTCTTATGTATACTTATGCCCAAGACTACTTTAGAGTTGTTGAGACAGTGGGAAGGAGTGGGCAGAAGAAGAAGATCCAAAGAGGACTGGTGGAAATGCATCCCAGCCTGCGTCTGGTGGACATTATGGAAGGAAAGAAATGAAAGATCACATGATGGGAAACTTAACAGCACTCAGAAAATCAAGATGAATAGCTTGAGCCTGCTGTATTTTTGGTGTAAACAGGATTTGGTGGGGGAGGTAGATAGTGGATTTTAAAGCTCAATTGAGCCTGCCCAGTTTTTGGCTTTTGAAATCCCCCCCTGGGGGCTGTAAATCCCACCTCATCAGGCTTTGCTGATGAGTTTTGATGTGAATATAAAGTTACCTTATCAAAAAAAATAATTTATTTCTCTTCTGTTGTTTCGGTGCAACATGGCAATTACTAATGATACAGAAGCCGTGGCATGTTCTTATGTATACTTGGAGTTAACTGGGTAATGCCCAAGACTACTTTAGAGTTGTTGAGACAGTGGGAAGGAGTGGGCAGAAGAAGAAGATCCAAAGAGGACTGGTGGAAATGCATCCCAGCCTGCATCTGGTGGACATTGTGGAAGGAAAGAAATGAAAGATCACATGATGGGAAACTTAACAGCACTCAGAAAATCAAGATGAATAGCTTGAGCCTGCTGTATTTTTGGTGTAAACAGGATTTGGTGGGGGAGGTAGATAGCTTAGTGGATTTTAAAGCTCAATTGTAAAGTTTTGGCTGTTTTTTGGCTTTTGAAATTACCCCCTGGGGGCTGTAAATCCCACCTCATCAGGCTTTGCTGATGAGTTTTGATGTGAATATAAAGTTACCTTATCAAAAAAAATAATTTATTTCTCTTCTGTTGTTTCGGTGCAACATGGCAATTACTAATGATACAGAAGCCGTGGTTGACTTTTTGAGTTCATTACACAACTTGTAATGAGACTTCCCTCTGTAAATACTTGCCAGCAGTTTTGCTGCTTTTGATTTTAATACCCTTTACCAATCAAAAGAAAAAGTAGCTAAGGGTGATGTAGAAGTTTTTCAACCAGTAAATATAGCATATGTGAATTTTTTTTTAAAATAGCATATGGGAGAAAATTTGAAGACTTGAAGGATCTTGGCACCTCAATTTTTCTGTTCTAGCAAATCTTCGGCATTTCTGTCACTCACGTGATTGCTATGCGTTGTATTGAGGAGCGGTGATTAGACAGGACATGTCACAACTTCATATTACCGAGGACATGACATTAGATAGGAAGGAGGGGAGGTCACGTATTAGGGTAGAAGGTTAGTAGAGATAGATTGTTGTCTGGCTTAGGCTTGTTAGTGCCTGATGTAGTACTCGTCATGCCCTTGTTGTAGTTCTTTCCATATGTTGTTTATTGTATTTCGATTATCACACTAGTTTGTTGTTGTTATTGTTTCTTTCTTGTAGACTTTACATTGTTTTTTTATTAACTGCTATGCTTTCTTCATTGTTTTCTTCTTCTATTACTTGGGTTTGATGCACTTGAGCCGAGGGTCTTTCGGAAACAGCCTCTCTACCTCTACGAGGTAGTGGTAAGGTCTCCATACACTCTACCCTGGCCAGACCCCACTTAGTGGGATTTCACTGGGTATGTTGTTTTTGTTGTTGTATCTTCTGCCTGACCTATACCAGTTTAGAAAAGCACCAAGCTGACCATACATGTTGCCTACTTCTGAGTCCTGAATAATCCCTGATGTTGTATTGACATATTTAATGCTCCTTAATTGCAATTATTTTTTTTCTTTTATTCCTGTGGTGTTTGGGCTACATGAACGCACCTCGATTAATCCACCAGACAATTTGTATAGCCTACAAGCACAGGTGACGAAAAACTTGCCCATAGAAGTTTGAGCATATGGGCTCACACCAAGTGTCCTAGTTGGGATTCAGACTTAGGATCTTCAGGTTGTTACCCCCTAGTAGCCATTATATTTAGCACTCTCTTTGATTTACTACAGGCACATTACATATCCTGAGGCTTCATGTTCGTATGTGCTGTCTATTTGTGAATGAATGTATCAATGACTCAATGTACATGTTCTATCTCTAGGTTTTGTCTGTGCGTGCGATGAGATGTTGATGTCTGTGATTTTCAGTGTTATTGCAGATAATCATGATGCACCATTTGTCAAGTAGTGTATCAAAGAGAATACTCTCTTCTGCCATGGCTTTCTATAGAAATGGTTCTTCTTTCTCTATGGTTTCAAGACAAGCATACAGAAGCTCAACTCTGCAGCAGATTGTTGACAAGTCACCACGAAATGCTATTCCTAGTGATTTCTTGAAATGGCGTTTGCTTGGTTGCATTAGGACATCAAAATTTGCCTCTGGCTTCAGCCCGTTGAAGCAAAAGCCCTTGGACTCTATTATTGACATGGAGAGGGCAAAGGAAAAATCAGCTGAAGAGCTAGCTGACATTTGGGATGATGTAATATTTCAACACTTTCTTAAATTTTGATAATTTCAAATGCATAGTTGGCTTTCTTGAGATAGTTTTCAGCCTTGAGTTCTTATTCTGGACAGTTGTAAATTACATTAGTCACTTAATATGATGAACAATACACAAATAGACCAAGCTTTTGTCATAGAAATGAGCAGGTTAGCTTGCTGACATCACTAGAAATTGATGTCATCTAAGGTTTATCTGATCTTTCTGATAAACTTGTAAAAGTAATTCATGCAGCCAAAAATATACAGTCTGGTTTTTTATGATTGCATTAATATTTTTTTGTAGATGACTACTATTAATATCACTTTGCTGCAAATGGAATGAGGATTTGCTGGAAATATTAGAGGACCCCATGAATTCTTTGATCTTTGGTCTAAATTTACCCCTTCAATAGATTTTCTTATGGAACTTAGTGTTTTTAAGCCATTCAATTCTAAAATGTGATGCTTCAGAGATGCTTTGGTCATGGATTACCTTCTCATCTTTTTTTTTGGGAGCTGATCTCCTGCAAAAGGACTTGCCTCCTGAAATGCTTGTTAGACTTGAAAATTCTTTATGAAGTTTAGAGAAAATGACTATTTTTATGTGTGTTTACACAATCCATTCAAGTATTTTTAGCTACGATCAGCCATGTACCTTTACGTCTACTTATTTATTAAGTTGTATACTTTGTACATTTTGATCATGGTCTGCACTCTGCAGTATATGTTCCGCAACTTTTGCTTTCCTAAAGTGTTAGTGATACTTGAATGATCCTGTTCTTTCTGTCTCATTTCCCCTTTCATTGCATGATTATGTTATTTCAGTATCACTTGGGAAGAGGTCACATTGCAGCATCAATGAAATCTAAGCTATATAAGCTCTTGGAGCAAAGAGCTTCCAGTTGGTAAATATGCTGCTTCATCTTTTTCATTTGTTTTCTCGACTATAATTAGTTTCTCTGTTTAATACACTCTTCCATCGTTATCTTTGACATCCTACTTCTGTTTTCATGTGTAGCCGGTATTTTGTGATTCCGCTATGGAAGGGAAGTGGTTACACAACGATGTTTGTGCAGGGTTAGTCTTGTCTTGCTCCTTTTATTCTTTAACAATCTCTGCTGATTTGCATTATAAAACCTACTACCATGATTTAGACACTATATGTTAGAGTCTTTATCAAAAAACTATTCGAAGAGTTCCTCTCTCTAGTTCTGATGCTGTCACTGCTGGCAGCTTTATTTATTCTCACAAAAGAAAAATGCTTTCCATCTTTTTTAAGTTCATTGTTGGATGAGCTTGTTATTGAGATAATAATATTACTATTCATAGTCGGATACATAAGGGAACATATAATACTTTAATGGTCTACCATCTCCATATTATCTGATGAAAGAGTCTGCAGCTGTAGACTTCTTTTTGCTATGTAGGGGGTCGATGGCAATGTCACTTGAAAGATCCTTTTTTCCCTCTTCTCTGTCCTCCTATCCTTTATTTACATTAAGAATGTTTTGCTTGCCTCTCCAAAAATGTTGCTGGGCGCGTGTAGTATCCTCCAAAAGTAGTGTATGTTTTGGATGATCCAACACAGGTACGACAACAAGTTTGAAGAATCGTAACAACAGGGTTTAAAAAGTTTAGTGGTCAAGGAAGTTGAAATGACCATATAAACCAAGGTTGGAATTTCAGTAGAGGTGAAAAAATTAAGGTGATTTCTTCCCATCTTCTTAGTCTTGATGGACAGAGTTACCAGTATCCGTGAAATAGTTGAGGTAGCAAGTCAAACTAAGCACTACCATTATCCCAAATAAATGAGATGCCTTGATATGTGGGGTATCAACATATTATCCTAATTATTTTTAGGTGAATCTCTGCACCCGTATCCATACATGGATCCATATCCCTTAAAAATTAGATCATGAAGGATTCGACCTCTAGATCCGCACCCATATCGGACACCCACACCCGAGTCCGAGCAACTTAGATCATATTATTGGTGATTGAAAAATAACCAAAATAGAGATCAATCTTTCCAATAGTTCACCTGTCTTATAATCTTCAATCCTGAGTTAATATTTTGTACTATTAGACAAGTGGGAGTTAAGCACCTCACTGTTGATATGTTTACTCGTGTTTAAAAAAATCCAATTTGAAGGAATTCTGGTCAATGTGCCTTATTTTTGTGCATTATTTGCTGTTCCAGTAGGCTTTAATTCTTTCTTGTGGAGTTCAAATGACGAAAAAATTAGAATTCTTTTGCTCAAATGACAGATGTGTCTTGCCTTTTGACATATGGGCCCAGGAGGATACCTTTGTAAATGTCTCAAAATGGAGCAATGTTGTGGGCCCAAAAACAGCTTTACTGTAGCTGATGTATAAATGTTTTGGTGCATTGACTTATTTAGCTCTTTGTTTATGTCATCGACATTCTCTAGACAATCAATTCCCTCCCCCAACAGTTGTACTTCCTCATGTGCGTCGTGTCCCTACCTCATTATTTAGTGCTTCACTTCTACTATTACCTTGCTGTTTCTCTGATTAAAAATGCAGAAAACAGACTCCAACTGCAAACCATTCCTTAACTTGATTTACATTGATCTCTTCAATTGAGTAAGCTTGGGCTAGCTTTCACCTAGTGTTTTTGATACTTCTCAGTCAGGTTGATTACTTCTAATTGTCATCCCTAGTTTGCTTTTATTTTCTTGTTATGAATTTGATCACTTATCTTGTTTACTTTTTTCGAAAAGAATCTTCTCTTCATGTTTTCATTACCTATTCCTTGGCTGGTCGACCCATGTAGGGAATCCCTTGTTCTGAGGCTTCTTTATAGGTAAAATGCCTATGCTTTCTGAAGACTATAGCTGATGATATGTTGTTATTTTCTCAATACTTCTAGCACTCAGGTCCGTACTGATTAGTACTTCTTCATCCGATATCAGGTCAATACTTTTGCCTGCAGTCCAAGATATTTGACAAATTTCTACTAATTATAGATTACCTGTACAAGTTTCAAGTAACCAAAATTTAACAATCATTTCAACATAAACATACTTTAGAAAAGGAAAAAAACAAGATGTACTATTGTAGTGTGTAGGATTGCACCTAGTTTTCTAACCTTTATGACAGCTGAGCATAGATGGCTCTAGTTGTACATGTATTTGGTTAGTTAGCTGGCTTTCCTTTGGACATCTGTGAATATCATATTTGTTCCTTCTTGAACTTTAAGCTGTGTATGTAGATCAACTCCTCCCACCTTGCCTCCCCATTCCAAACTGAATCAACAAGTAGTTGTGACAAAGAAGGAGAATTTCACAGAATATTTGTTCTCACCAACTGAACCTGTACTTTTCTGGTGAATCTGCATAAATCAAATTTGTTTATGTTTATAATTTAGTGGCCATTGTTCTGTGTGAAATCAGTTCTAGTGCTCTGTGTAAACATCAAGACAGGTGGGTGAGAGACTCCATCAGTAACAAGAAGATTCCGTTTATCATCTGCAGTCATTTCATGACTATTCATTAGAATAAATCATCATGCAGTGCAGGCACCCCACATTCTAATCACAGGTCTTGAAGATTACAAAGCAAGAGGAACTCAAGCTGCTCCATACTTCACAGTTTCTTACTACACTGAGTTTACTGAAAGCAAGGATCTAGTTCTTGTTCGAGGGGACATTGTCTTTACTAGCAAGCTCACGGACTCGGAGGCAAAATGGCTTTTGGACACTGTACAATCATTTTACTTGAATGATGTCAGGTACAAACTAGTGGAGCGCTTTAACAGAGAAACAAGTGAGTTCGAGTTTAAAGATGTTTTACAAACTTTGGAGATGCCTATAATGTGATTGACACATCCAATTTTCTGTCATAAGAACAATCAGAAGAGATGGAGTTTGATTGTGAAAGGATCATTCAAAAATCAGCAACAGTAGGATTGTAGTTCTCCTTGCCATTTTGACAGGCAATCGTATCTGTCCAGCATAAAATGCTTGTATTGCATAGCTTAACAATCTTTTCTTATTTGGATTTCTTTCATTGAGGCAAAGTCAAGTATCTTCATGGTGCTTGGTTTGATGGAATGAACTGAAATAGCATAACATCTTTTCTAACTTTGATTCTTGTTCATTAAGGCAAAGTCTAGTATCTTCATGATGTTTGGCTATAAAATTATAAATAACATCTAGGGTTTAATCCACAACTTTTGCAAATCCAGAAATTGAGAACTTTTGTAGCAAGAGCAAGTGCGGCATTAAAAGGACAGAAGAAAGAAGAATTAGAGTTGGGTTTTATTTCTAAAACTTAGTTTGTGTTGTTTCAACTTAGAATCATTATATAGGGATAATTGTCCTAAGTGTGAAAGTGTGCTTGTGAGGTTTTTGTAACAAAAGGTGGGTTTGGCTTTTTGGAGAGTAGAGTATATGATTATAGCTAATCGTTGAATAGTTTGAGTGAACTGTTGAGGTGAGGTACTAGCGTAAGTCCTTTTGATTATAGAGTTGTAATCTAAAGTTGCTCTTTTAAGTTTGTGAAGTTTTGGTGAAAATCCTACAAGGTGTAGGTCATTGGTTTTCTTCCCTTGAACAAGGTTTTTCACGATAAAATCTTTGTTTAGTTTGTTGCATTTTTATCTTTGCTAATTCAACAAGAACCCAGTTTCAAAACTAATGTTCCACATATTTGATATTGTCTCAAATAATACGTTCTATTTCATTTTATATAATGCTATAAGGCTGGGTACGAAATTTTACATACATTTTTTTAAAATTATAATATAAACAAAGCATTATTACTTGTATGATGATATCATGGTATTAAGGATAACATTAATATTTTTATAAAATCAAATTACTTTAAATATAAATGAATATCATTATTTTTAAGACTAGTTTATGTGTGTAACAGCCCGTATTATGCATATGTTTATTCTATTCTTGTGATACTTGACATAGCCTTATAGTATAGGTGAGGGACCATGTTTCTTATATGATTAGCGTTGGTTTAAACTAGCTCGGAAGGTGATGTGATGCCTTGCACGTTGCAGCATGTGTACTGCAAGTTATAACTCCAACGAAAGTATTTAAACTCGAAACGGGAAGGTGGTAATTGAGCTTAAAGTTGAAAGTTAAGTGCTAAGTTAAAGAAAAAGAGATTAATAATTAGAGAATGAAATAAAATAGGTGAGCTGCTTGCTTGACTTAACTAAGCTAGTAGGTGACAAGTAGGTGCATCACCTACTTTGACTTATTGACCAGTCCAAAGAACCAAGTAGGTGCATCACCTACTTCAGCTATATGGATCTAGTTAAAAAGGCCGAGGTTTATGGATCAGATTTGGGCCTATGCTAATGGACTCACTTGAGGCCCAAACTATGTTAAATAAAACAAAATGAAATTAAAGCC